GCATAATGGTAAGATAATTTATGATAAAATAACACCAGGAAGTTTAAGCAAAAGATGGCGTGAATAATTTTTCTTTCGGTTCCTTGTTCAGGGTTTTTGCTTCATTTTTTTTGCTCATAGTAAAGACGTGGCCTGTCTGTTTTTATAAACTGTTCCGTTGTGTGGTCGTATATGACATTCATTAGAGCAGGGGTACTTATTGTACTTAGCTATTGTTTTCAGTACTGCTCCATTCCCCAGGTAGGGTACGTTCAACTGCTATATACCATATCATGCCTGTTTCGTGTTATCAAATTTGCCAAAACAGCCTCTCCGAAACATTCACTTTGTAATGTGAAAGTTAAAAGGGTCTTGACTATGAATGTTGTTAGACACACCTATGGACCTTCATGGCAGGATTGGCAGATTTGAATCTTGTTGATTGAAATCATCCATTCAATCTATATTTAACTCACATGATTTTTCAAATCACTGAAATGGATCAACCTTTGAAATTCGAGGGGAAAGATGACAATGCTATTTGTTTTCAGCTGGTTGGTAATTTTTTCATGTTATGGACATTTTAACAGCAATTCCCCCTCTGTGAGCCCTCAAGTTCCTAATACTTTGTAAGCCTGATTGCGCATATGTTTACATAAACACAAATTGGGTTGACAGGGTTTTCTTCAGTTCAGTTTCAGTTTTGATTGAAATCAGCTGTTGGATTCAGTGCATGAATTCATGTCAACTTCTGAGTTTAACATGGTAAAGCATAAGTGGAAATCTAACTTTGATCTGTCTACAATTACACATGTAGTTATTGGGATTCGGAATTTTGGTTAAATTTTAAGCTGTGAAACCAAAACTAGTAACACAAAGATCTGTTTGTTTGTGTTTACGGCAGCCTGTCTGGGAAATGGACCCCTCGACTAATAAATTCTAATTTATGTGAGCATAGGAATAAATGGTACACGGTGGCAAAATGCTTGAGTGGCCTGTTGAAAACGTAAAGGGGCACAAATCTCAACGTCATATTCTCTAAGCCAAGACCCAGGGTCTAAGGAGGTATTAGTCTGCTAGTGAATGCCACATTTGGCAATGACAACCAAAAGCTTTAATCTTTACCTTAAAAAATGTGTCCTGGTGAATTTGTTTGATTTTGTTTTCATTTTCTTCAAGTAAATTCGTTTGATAAATGCAAATACCAACCAGGAGTCATATTTTGCCAAAAAGAAAATATCAGCTGGTTGATCAACCTGAAATCTTGACCCGCCCCTTCAGAAGGCATCCCACGGATTTGGATAAGTAAGAGAACCATTTTAATATGTACTGACTGATTTAAGAAATTGCCCAGAAAATGAAATCAATTAACACATTTGACGTTCTATAATTTAAGCATGCCATTCAAAACGACTTTAAGGTTGCCAAGAGAACCTGC